CCCAACTCAGTAAGCTCATAATAACAATATTCGGCATAAATCACAAAGGCATAATGCAGAATATCAAATACAAAGATAGACACAATAAAAAAACTCAATCACACCATGTGCCACTCACGCAAGTATAGTGAGAAGACTCACCTCGCAAGTAAGCTAAGTGAACGAATACTCTCGCACACGAATCACCGAGTCTAGCCTCCTCCTAATCACATAAGATAACTATATCTAATAAACTCTTTAAATTGCACATTTAACTAAGTTATCTCTCTCTCTTTATCTCTCTCTTGAAGTGGAAAAGACCAATTTACCCCTCCATGGTTTCCTAAAGACAGGGTTGACCAAACTCTAAGTCAACAGAAGTCAAACTTGAGTCAACAGTCCATGTTGACCCTACTCGTCGAGTGAACTTATGGGACTCGACAAGTCTGCTCGCCATCCACAGAATCACTCAAAGGTCTGGGTCAACTCCCCGAGTTGACCCGTCAACTCATCGAGTTGATGTACGATCAAAACCATCAGGACAACCCCATCCGACTTGTTGAGTCAGCTTCTTGACTCGGCAAGTCCATTCAGACTCTTCAGTCGTTTTCAAGGTAGGGAACTTCCCCAAACTCTGGATCTACACTCGTAAGGCTCATCTATCACATAAAGTCACAGGCTTTACGTTCATGCATGGCATTTTGAGCTCAAAATGCCAAAAAGCACCCCAAAAAGGGTTTTTCACTCAAGACCACTATTATTGTTGAATAAAGCATGGACTTTTGGACTCTAGGGACCTCATATGGTCCAGATCTGAACTTCAAACCTCACAATGAGCATGGAACACTCAACGTCCTCATATTTGGGTGGAAAAACCATACATTCACAAAATCATAAGATCTATGCTATATAAAGAAAAAGGTGAAAGCTTTATACCTTTCCCAGAAGCTTTGAAGTGAAACAACCTCAGATCTAGCAATACCCTCTTGTCCATTGGCTTGGAAATCTTCTCTTCTGTTCTCAAAATGCACCAAACACTCACAATTAGCAAGTCAATCTGCCTCTAGGCTCAAAGCTCGTTTAGGGTTTTCTCTCAAGGAAGGGTAGCCGCAAATGAGGCCAGAAGTGCCTTTAAATAGGCTCCAAACCCGAGAATTTAGGGTTTCTCATCTCAGCGCCTACTCGGCGAATCGGTTCTCGTACTCATCGAGTAGGTCATTAAACCCACGTCCCCATCCACGATAGTACTCGGCGAGTTGTAGCACCAACTCGTCGAGTCATACTAAAAATTCAAAGAAATAAATAATCAAAATGATGCACCTTGGACTCCGGAGGTTACAGTGTACGTGTGACATCCCGGAATTTAGGGCATAGATTTCAAACGACTAAACTACGACAAATCTATTTGTAATTAATTCATTCAGCTTTAACTGCATCTAATGAAATATAAATGAATTAATTTCAATTATTATATAATATTTGATGGTATTTTTATGCCCAAACGTGTAAACTGGTAACCCAATCGAACCGCCCAACTGCAGCGCTGACTAATGCGTCTGAAAATTGAAATTTAACATTTTTCATTTCTGAGCAAAATAAACACAAAAATATGATAGTACATGTTCCCCCATTTCCAAAAATATAAAGAACGTCCAAAACGGAGTTTATATGCAAAAGATACAACCGCTTTAAGAAAAACGGACAGTAAAACACTTTTATTCTTTAATCGCGTAAACAAAAACGTTCCGTTGAGGCACTTACGCTTTGCCGACGGGATTTTTGAGAGCGTTTTTGGACTCAGGATATAGTATATTATTTAATTTCACACTCAAAATAATTTTTACAAAAATATTTATGAAAGTCGCGAAAACGGACACCGCGAGCCGTTAAGACGCAAAACTTAAAACGCAATTTCCCGGAGATCCGTAACTCCAAAAATTAATCCGTTTGATGTTCTAGAATCCTTGAATTATACTCTATCTAACAGAGCCTTCGAAAAATAAAATCAATGCACGTATACCGAGAAACCCGATTTTTGTATGTTTTAAACATGTAAGGGAGGCTTAGCCCCATGTGGGGCCCACCCATACTCCAACAGACAAAAAAAAAAAAAAAAAATCTGATCTCTTTTATCTTCACCTCACCCCCACGTGCCATATCTTTTCTTTCTTGCACATATCCTCAAAAGTACAAGGTAAGGGTTGAGGTATGGCTTATTTGGTTTGTGTGTATGGATTTTTACTATAAAAGGAATGCATGAGTGCCTTCATTCGACACAAATCATCAACTTCTTCCCTCTTCTCTCTATCACTCTCTTCCTCCATAAAAGCTGGAAGAACATCCCCTGCCACTCTCAAACACCCACTACCACCACCCAAAAGCTTCATCCCTAAGCTTAGTTTGTTATTTCCTTCGATCCCTGGAAGCTTTTCCATACCCCTGCATCGAAATCCAACCGAAATGAGGAAGAACGGAGGTAGCAGTATCAGAACCACCACCCCCGTCAGCCTCCTGTTGCAGCAATAACCACCGATCGCCACCACTTCTGGCCTCCATTTCGTCACTAGTAAGCCATCTCCACCCCCTTGATTTCGTTATAAGCTTCCATGTATCTAGAACTATAATAATAATAATAATAATAATAATAATAATAATAATAATAAACCGCCGCAAGATTTTTATTTATTTATTTATTTTCTTTCTTTCGTTTGCGTATCACGTCGGGGAAGAAGATAAGCTTGTATACAGTTCAAACATCATTGCAAATTAAATATATATAGTCCCCATACTTTTAAATTGCCTGAATTTAGTCCCTTGAAAGTTATTTCAAATGTAAGATTTAAACAATAAAAGTTTGATAAGAATGTTTAAAACTTACTTTAGGATGGAAAAATCATTTCAAAACAAATCAAACTTTATATACAAAAATTAAATGTTTATACGTATATTTTAAAAATTTTAAAGTTGATTTCAAATAAATTAATTTTGGTTATTTAAATACTTGCGGAATTATAATAAATTAAATTTTAAAATTTAATTAAAATAATTATAAATTTTAAATTGGCAAGACTTAGGGAATTATTCAAGAAATTGTTATAATACTTAATCACGTCCAAATAATAATATATATCGAATTTCTAGGAAATCGAACTAATCTCGGAGATCACGACCTCACGGCAATACATTCTGGTCTTCAGAACTACTCGTTTACCACTCGATAAGGTGAGAGTTACGGCCCCTCTTTTTATATTTATTTGTTTTGGGGGAGAATACATGTGATATATATTATTTATGATACAAATATATAAGTCTTATATGATATGCATGCTACAAATTTAAGTTATAAATACTTCCATCATGCATAAGATTTTACACACTTATACAAGATCGTTATGTTAAAATATATATCTCTATAAAAGCGAGTAATTTATACTTTATAAATACGTCAACCATACTCGACTTTACAAATACTATACTACGAGTTTCATTATGCCCGGTACTTATCTATAATTAAGTTAGGGCTGAGAGTTATTCACAAACTTTGCGTTAATGGTTTTTGAGTGAGACGCTACTATTCATTAGCTGAGTTTAATCACTTAGCCTGCCCCACACTGCTATAATCGTTAATCTTCGGAGCGAGTTACATATATATAGATCTATATAGGGTTGACAACCCCACCTGCGGTTGCTAGCTACAACCATCGACTGATCAATCGAAGCAGGTGATATGTGTCTACGATCGTTACTACGATGTCCAATGAAGCGTCGTAGGGAGGGGTACCTTTCGTCTATAGCTCGATTATAGAACTCACTAAAAACATTAACACGAATCTCTCTCACTTTTTCACTACAACCATAGTTTGGTTGCTTTTAGAAATGTTTTTAAGTATGGTGGTTACTTATACAATGGATATGTTTAAACTTCATGAAGTTATTACAAACACATTTTCTTCAAAAGCATAAAATTATTTATAAAATTAATTTTTAGCTTTTAAAGACTCATGACAAGCATTGTCAACATCTTATACAAAATATATATATATATATATATATATATATATATATATATATATATACTCTTGGACTTTTGAAAGTATTATTACTGCGGCTAGCAGAAAACCTGTGACTCTCACCAACCTCGTGTTGACTTTCAAAATACATGTATTCTCAGGAAATCAGTGAAATTTCAGGCACAATCAGACGATGGAAAACATGGCTCGCAAGTACTTTAATTTTCTACTTTTGAACTGTTATGCCTAACTGTTAAGGCAAACTCGTATTATTATTTTATTACTATCTGTAAGAACCATGTATGAAAACATAAACATGTAATGAAATGTTGTTTTGTTTATTGTTGTACTTGTGCTGTATATTCAATTTATCTGTGATCCATGAACTTAGTCGCACAGCCCGGCATGTTCCGCCGCCTCGGCCGGGGGTGTGACAGATTGGTATCAGAGCTAAATTGGCTATAGAGAACTCGTATCCTCGAAAGAGGAATACAACTATAGCAACTAGCTTCTTATAAAAGTATTATCAATAATAAAACTACTTCCCGACTACTTACGGTATGGTAGTTGGGAAGTACAAAACAAAGATTAATAATACTACAAACCCCACCAACCTTAATATGTAAGAGTTGATATATATACCCTGACCCACGATGAGAACACTTAATAAAAATTCTAAACATCCCTTCAACTAAAACTACCAACTCAACCCTTTAGGTCAAACGCCTCAATTAAAGGTTAGTATCGTACATAAGCCATACCACAAATAAACCTGGAACGCGCGCCTATGTTATTTATGGTCGGGCCGGTGCACAACCAACCTTGAGCAAGGAGTTTGACAAGCTACAACGGTTGAGAGTTTTAGAAGTTGAAGAATATCCATCAGATTCGTTGCTGAAGCTTAATACCTTAGAATCCTTTTATCAACCTTAAAACTCTTATAAAAAAAAAAAAAAAAAAAAAAAAAAACTTATACAAATTTACTAACCCGCTTGAAACCCTTCTATGTAGATGGCTGGACTACCGGATAACCCTGATGACTGGTTTCGACTTGAGGATCCTGATGAGCCATTTGGAGTTCCTTTGCATCCACATCCACTACACTTAGCGGGGGATCCGTACTTTCCCCATGACGGTCTTGAGGAGGAGGATCCCGAAGAGGATCCTGAGGAGGATCCCGAAGAGGATCCTGAGGAGGATCCCGATGAGGAGGAGCTCGAGAATGAGGGCATATTTCAGGATGCCCAAGAGACTGATGATGATGGTCCTGCAGAGGATGAGGGAGACCTCTCCGAAGAGGAACCTACTCCCCTTACCCCACCAGACTCACCACCGAGACCCTACCAGCCGTACCTTCTGCGCGGCAAGGGCCCTTGTATGATGAGGACCCCAGGAACTACTATATCTCCTATTTACCACTTGGACCCAGCTGCTCAGGTTTCCCGACCCACTAGTGGTCTATTAGGGAAACGTAATCGACCCAGTGAGCCATCTTGGCTCACAGACCTCCTTAGCAGGAGGGATGCTACTGATCTACCACCACGGTTTGAGGTTGGTGAATCTTCACGAGCACCACTCAGGTTTAATCCTGAGGATGATCCGATACCTCGCTTGATGACTCAGATTGATCAGACCGAGGATAGGATTAGATCCTTGGAGCAGTTTGTGAGAGGTCCAGGCTCTACTTCCCTCGACCATCGAGTTGAGACACTCGAGGAAGAGGAGAAGGAGAATTCTGATGCGATCCAGATATTATATCATCTCTCGGGTGCTGATCACGATGCAGTGAATGCCTTGAGTGCTCAGGTTAGAGCACAGAACTACCGGATTCAGATCATGGAGAGCGAGCTTGCTGCGCAGCGAAATCAGTTGGTTATCTCTGCGCAGGAACGACGCTACATCTTGGACCAGTTCGAGGACTTTGTCCTCTATGTGATGACTCGATTTGGGAGGTAGATATCTAGGACAACTTGTGTCCTAGGATAAGGTTAGGACTTTTGAGGAATAGCTTTTGTATTGCAAGTGTTTATCACTGCCTGGTTTGTAATAGCTCTTTTGAAAAGCTTTTCTATTTCTAACCTTATATGGTTAAAACTTTGTAACCAAAACAAGCAGTTCTGATGACAATGTTTCTGTGTTTTATTAAATGTTTGTATTTATTATGTATTGCTTGCAAAACTCTATATATCAGGAAAAGCTTTCATTTTCTGGTTTCGCAAGAAAAACAAATTGAACAAATACAAAATACACACACATTATAACTATATGGTTTAAAAAAAAATTAACTTACTTATCTAACGTATTAGGATAATGCCTCGACGAAAAGAACCACGAGTTCGTCCACCACCGACTCCCCGAACTAACAGGAGAAGTGCTCCAGAGATAACTCAAACAACAGAAGAAACTCCAGACCCTGAAGAAACCCCAAGTGCTACAAATAACCACCAAAATTTCCAGATGGATCCCACCATGATGCAGAACATGCTTGCACAAGGGATTGCTACGGCCTTGGCGACTTATGAGGCAGCTCGAAACGGGAATACTGGAAATAGCGGAAGTGGTACTCCTGTAGTTGCCCAAAGAAATCCCAAACACTGCTCATACAAAGAATTCATGGGTTGTAAACCCCGATCCTTCTACGGAACTGAAGGAGCTGTTGGCCTATCCCGATGGATAGAAAGATTGAAGCTGTCTTCCACATCAGCTCTTGCCCGGATGACTGCAGGGTTAAGTACGCTACCTGCACACTGATGGATGCTGCCTTAACTTGGTGGAACAACCATGCCAAGACCGTGGGAATTGCGGAAGCCTATGCCATGGGATGGGAACAGCTGAAACTAATGATGACTAAAGTGTATTGCCCACGGCAGGAGATTCAGGCATTAGAACAAGAACTCTGGAACCTAACCATGCAAGGATCAGAGGTAGCTGCTTATACCTCCCGATTCGAAGACCTTGCAACTCTTTGTCCCGGAATGGTACCTTCAGAAGACAAGAAGACGGAGAGATACATTTGGGGATTAGCATCGCCAGTCCAAGGTCTGGTTACTGCATCCAGACCCTCAACTTTTGATAGTGCCAAGCAGCTGGCCTATGAGTTGACTGAACAATGTATCCGACAAGGCACCATGGCCCCTGCAAAAGAAAAGAACCAAACTGGGAATCTAAGAGAAAGTTCCAGGGAAAGCCAAAAGGGAACTTCAAACACCGTAAGCGAAACCCAGAGCCTGTAACGGTGTATGCTGCAGTCACAACCACTCCCACTCCAGTAAAACCCTACGCTGGAACTCTACCTCGCTGCCCTAAGTGCAATTATCATCATGTTGGAGACTGCAGGATATGTAGCAACTGCAAATTAAGCGGTCATACCACCAAATTTTGCAAAAAGAACCCAAGCAACACAGTCTCAACTACTACCGCAAGAGAAAGTCGAACCTGCTTCGAGTGCAACCAACATGGACATTTCAGGAAAGATTGTCCTAAGCTGAAGAGACAGGGTGGTCAAGGAAGGGCGTTTGTGATAGGTGCGGGAGACGCACGCCAGGAACCAACTGTGGTTACTGGTACGTTTCCTATCAACAATATTTATGCCTCTGTATTATTTGACACTGGTGCTGATAAGAGTTTTATTTCCCACAAATTTAGAAAAATGATTAATCATGAATCATGCAAACTCAATAATGCTTACACGGTAGAAGTAGCCAATGGTCAAATAGAAAGCACCTTAGAAATACTCACCAACTGCCTTCTCACCCTGAATAATCACGTGTTCCCTGTCGACTTAATGCCCATAACCATTGGAAGTTTCGATGTAATCATCGGAATGGATTGGTTATCAGCCCATCGAGCGGAGATTTTATGTTACGAAAAAGCTGTACGATTACCCTTACCAAACGATGAAGTCCTTGTGATTTATGGAGACAAGGCGGGGAAGAACCTACGAGTCATTACTTGCATGAAGGCAAGGAAGTATTTGCAGAAGAGATGCTACGCTTTCTTGGCCCACGTGGTGGATACGCAAGGCAAGGGTAAGGAAATCAAAGACATACCACAAGTGTGTGACTACCCAGACGTATTTCCAGAAGACCTACCTGGAGTACCTCCTATCAGACAGGTTGAATTTCGAATCGACCTTATCCCGGGTGCAGCACCAGTGGCACGGTCTCCTTATCGCCTGGCTCCATCGGAAATGCAAGAACTATCCAGTCAACTTCAAGAACTTCTCGACAAAGGCTTTATTCGGCCAAGCTTCTCTCCATGGGGAGCCCCGGTATTGTTTGTCAAAAAGAAGGATGGTTCTTTTAGGATGTGCATCGATTATCGAGAGTTGAATAAGCTCACTATCAAAAACCGGTATCCACTCCCGAGGATCGATGACCTGTTCGACCAATTACAAGGATCCTGCTACTACTCAAAGATCGACCTACGATCCGGCTATCATCAACTTAGAGTTCAAGAAGCGGATATTCCAAAGACGGCATTCCGAACTAGATACGGTCACTATGAGTTTCTAGTGATGCCATTTGGACTGACCAACGCACCTGCCGTATTCATGGACCTTATGAATCGGGTGTGTAAACCCTACTTGGACAAATTTGTGATTGTCTTTATCGATGACATATTAATATACTCACGAACCAAGGAAGAACATGGCCAGCACTTGCGTTTAATCCTAGAACTACTAAGAAAAGAAAAACTTTATGCAAAGTTTTCTAAGTGTGAGTTCTGGATTAACGAAGTTCATTTCCTCGGTCATGTGGTCAGCAATAAAGGGATTCATGTCGATCCGGCGAAGATTGAAGCTGTCAAGAATTGGAAAGCACCAACAACACCAACCGAAGTACGTCAGTTCTTAGGGCTTGCAGGCTATTATCGGAGATTTATTGAGAACTTCTCCAAAATAGCCAAGCCTCTCACCGCACTAACCCAGAAAGACAAAAAGTTCAACTGGGGAGACAGTCAAGAGTCTGCCTTCCGAAAATTGAAGCAATTGTTATGCAGTGCACCAATTTTGTCTCTTCCCGAGGGAACAGAAGACTTTGTAGTATACTGTGATGCCTCACGTCAAGGGTTAGGGTGTGTACTAATGCAGAGGAATAAGGTTATTGCATATGCATCCCGACAACTAAAGCCAAATGAGACAAACTACACTACCCATGACTTAGAGTTGGGAGCCGTAATATTTGCTCTGAAGATTTGGAGACACTATCTATACGGGACAAAGTGCATTGTATTCACAGACCACAAGAGCCTCCAACACATTTTTGATCAAAAAGAGCTCAATATGAGACAACGGAGATGGGTCGAATTACTAAATGATTATGAATGCGAGATTCGTTATCATCCCGGTAAAGCAAACGTTGTGGCAGATGCCTTAAGCAGGAAGGAACGAGCAAAACCTCTTCGTGTAAAGGCTCTAACCCTAACCATCCACTCGAACCTTACTATTCAAATTCGTGATGCTCAGCTAGAAGCACTTAAACCTGAAAACATCATGGAAGAAAACCTACGAGGCATGGACAAACAGTTCGACCTCAGAGATGATGGAACGCGATACTTCATGAACCGAATTTGGACTCCAAGATTTGGAGAAGTCAGAGATTTGGTTTTAAATGAAGCTCACAAGTCAAGATACTCAATACATCCCGGATCAGACAAGATGTATCTCGATCTCAAGAAGCATTATTGGTGGCCCAATATGAAGGCAGAAATTGCCACTTATGTTGGTAAGTGTTTGACCTGCTCCAAGGTCAAGGCGGAGTACCAGAAGCCGTCTGGCCTGCTACAACAACCATCAATTCCAGAATGGAAGTGGGAACAAATAACAATGGACTTTATAACAAAGTTGCCCAAGACATCAAGCGGTTACGATACCATATGGGTAGTGGTTGACCGTTTGACCAAGTCCGCTCACTTCTTAGCCATCAAGGAAACTGATAAGATGGAAAAACTCACCAGAACTTATCTCAAGGAGATAGTCAGACTACACGGTGTGCCAATATCTATCATCTCGGACCGAGATAGTAGATTTACTTCCAGATTTTGGCAATCACTGCAAAGATCCCTAGGCACAAAACTCGACATGAGTACAGCATATCATCCCCAAACGGATGGCCAGAGCGAAAGGACAATACAAACTCTGGAAGATATGCTCCGCGCTTGTGTGATAGACTTTGGTAACGCATGGGATACTCACTTGCCATTAGTTGAGTTCTCTTACAACAACAGCTATCACAGTAGTATAAAGGCCGCTCCATTCGAGGCCTTGTATGGGCGCAAATGTCGTTCACCATTATGTTGGGCAGAGGTTGGAGATACCCAACTAGCAGGAAAACATATTAGAGATACACTATTCACTGGACCTGAAATCATTCAGGAGACAACAGAAAAGATTGTTCAGATAAAAGAACGGCTAAAAGCCGCACGTAGTCGGCAGAAGAGTTATGCTGACAACAGACGCAAACCATTGGAATTCAAAGTAGGAGACCGAGTCCTACTAAAAGTTGCCCCATGGAAGGGTGTCATTAGATTCGGAAAAAGAGGAAAGCTAAACCCACGTTACATCGGACCCTTTGAGATCCTAGCAAGAGTTGGTCTGGTAGCTTATAAGCTCAACCTACCTCAAGAGCTTAACAAGGTTCACGATACCTTCCACGTGTCTAATCTCAAAAAGTGCCTAGCCGATGAAAATTTGATCGTACCACTCGATGAAATTCAGGTCAACACAAAGCTTCACTTCATGGAGGAACCAATGGAGATTATGGATCGGGAAATTAAAAGACTTAAACAAAACCGCATACCTATAGTAAAAGTCCGATGGAACTCTCGTAGAGGGCCAGAGTTTACCTGGGAACGCGAGGACCAAATGAAGCAAAAGTACCCACACTTATTCAATGATGCCCCCTCCACTAGTGAAAGAACTAACTACTAGTGTAAAGTAGCCAAGAATGTAATAA